ATAAGATAGTTGACAAGATATTTAAATTTAAAGTTAAGAAAACTTTTACTTAGAAAAAATTTGTCCCATTTCTACTGGCTCCCCCCCATATATTTTTTTGATATTGATTTTAAATAGTTTGCTTATAACTTACATTATAAATTTTATATTAGATATTATACCTGTAATCTAACTATAGTTATTATCTATTTAAACCATCTATAATGCATGCTAGTATATCACCATTATATTTATTAGTAAAAAGTCACAGATTAACCCATTCTATTAGAACTAATTTATCTTTAAAGTATTGTTACTAGAGCTTTCTATACTTACAATCCAGCTAACTTAGATTTCAATAACTTATACCAAGTCTAATAACAAGTACTTGTAGCCTTTTATCTTCATTACTATTACCTACTTTTGGCTTTGTAAAGTTTATTCAAACTTAAATATACACTTTATGAACTATTAACAGTATTTTGCAACAATTATAGTTCATTTGCTAAAGATGCTCTAGCTACTTCAAACTTCTAATCTAGATGATCTGAAAAGTTTGTAACCTGCTCCTGATCCCTACAGTTAAGTTTTTTTCTCTAATTTCTCTTTTGATAGCTTGGTTGATAAAGTGTTTTGCCAAATACTTTAGTTCTGCTAATTTCTCTAGATAATAATTCTTTATATTATACTATTAAATATTTGTGCTACTTCTTTATTTAGGTCTTGCTAAACAAACTTCTGTATCCTTTAATTCATTGGTTTTACACAAATAATTCACTCAAATTTTATATAATTTATATATAATATTATACTATTATTTAATAACCTTACAGTACAAGCTAATATGACTATATTATAGATACAAACCTAATAAAATATAGGTTTTCAAATATATTCTATAAATTCAAATTTTATTGCCAGTAGGATTCAAACTCTTGTTTTGCCACTTGAAGGTATAACAACTTACTAACTATACTAAGTCATCACATATTTTAAAAAAATAATAATATATTTATAACTATGGCTACTATAGTTATATTTTATAAAAGCCAATTAAATTTGTATAATATAATATGATTAAAAAAATTCAAACCAAATTTTTATTTTGTTAACAATTATAAAAGTTAGTTATAATCCAACACTTTAAATTTTAACAAAAAAAATTTTCATGCTAAATTTTACTATAAAACACTCTTTTTTACCCAAAATTTATTTTTACTTTACCCTTATTCTAACAAAAAAAATATTTTTTAGTTATAGCTACGGTAGCCTATGACTACAAATATATTAATTCCTAATTCGAAATATAATTTCTTATAAAATTTTTTATCAAAGTTTGAATCTCTGATCGTGTAACGTTATACTTAATCGTGATCCATCATTGGATAATTTTCCGTAGATCATCACGTGTTCGGAAATGCATCTACATCTAAGTTATGATTTTATTTTTGAAAATTTGAATTTTTTAAACAAATATATAATTTACTGTACATGTATAGAACAATAATAATAAATAATATAATATCAGATATATAAATTAAATCATTAAAATCTTTTTTTCTACACTATGTGGCTATCAGAAGATATTATTAGTCATTAACACTAGAGGCTTAAATAAATCAATATTATAACTAATAATATTAGCTACCATTAGAAAATTAGAATTTGAAGCTTAGAAATTGAACCTTCTATAAATGTTTCATTAATTAGATTACTACCTATGCTAATGTTATCATATGCCTCAACGCTTTGAAAAATGGAAGAAATCTTTGTCATCATTTATTATTGGAAAGAGTTCTGGGAAAATTCTATTAAATTGCATTTTATTTTCTTTTATTAGTTTATTTTTTATTTATATATATATATTTATTTTTTTTAATCTGTTTATCAATTCTTTATTAGTCATGACCGTAATGTGAATTGGTTACGGATCAAAGACTGAAAATCATTTTGGTCCTTGGTTCATCATTGTCTGGTCCTGATCTTTTTGAAGACTAATCCATTTTTAACTAATAGTGGCGGTAACACCAACAACAGATGAATTGCGTTTGTCTGCAAAATTTTCCATGAAATCCCATAATCGGACATTATCCAAGACTTTGACTTCTTCACCATTACGGATTGTACGAATGTTAATCTCTCCTTTTGTTCCATCACGGTTAACGTGAGAGTAGAAACATGAAGAACCAAATTGGCATTGACCATCGCCATAATTGAAGTGTTTACACGGAATGTTACTGTATTAATTAAAATTCGTTAAATTACAAGAATTTACTAAAATATGGATCTTAATAATCAATAATATTTAAATAAAATCGTTACCTGCACTTGCGTTTGTATTCATTGATAATTCTTTGTTTTTCTTCATGGTCCGTAATCCTTAGATATCAAAATTTTAATTGATTAGTAAATAACATGGTAATTCAATTATATAATGTTATTAGTTTACAAATATAATAATTTAAGATTTGCGGGTGCGTACCAAGTAGTACTTGGAGTAATGAAATGACTGGGTGTCCTGCATATCGGACAAGCACGGATGACTTGATTGTTCTGGCTATAATTAGAACTAGATCTCCATTGGCGAATGCATTGAAGACAGAATGCATGCTCACAATCTAAATATTATTTTTTTATCAAGTTTTAATGATTATTTCTTGTAGTGATTATAACATTTTATTGACTTACTCAATAGTCCGAAGCGAGCATCATCTTTAAGCAATACTTTTTCGAAGCAAATTCCGCATTCAATGTCCTCCGGTCTAACTCCATCAGTAACTTGAACTTGTTTGTTAAAACATTCGTTAATATGGACTGATTTTAATTGTATTCATTGAGTAAATGAATTAATAAGCGAAAAATTCAAAGTATGCATTCGAATAAGTCATTAAAGGATATTTTTAGCTTACCTTGATGTTCTTCAGGAGTAAGATGAGGATGTAAGACAAGTTTGAGGCATGAAGGACATTGTAAACCATGAAGAGATTGGCATCGTTCACCATAACGGCAGTTTCCAGCCATCCCGAAAGGGCACAGCTATGATTTTGCCAAACATGATCAAATATATATACACAAACGAAAAAAGAAAAATGATATTATTTCCCATAATTCCATAAAGTTAAACCCAAATATTGATATTTTATTTTTTTTTCTTTTGATATCTCCGTACAAAGAGTAAAAAAGAGAAAATTAAATCCCTCCAAAATATAAAACTTTTTTTTTTTTTTTTTGTATCCTTTTTTTTTTTTTTAATATATATATAAAGTTCACTAAATAAAATGATATATAATACATGTGAACCCTAAACTGGGCCTTTTTTTTTGAAATATTATATATATAGATTTATCAACAAACCGGCTCATAACGCCTCGAGTCGATACTGAGACCAGAAGTAGCCCCCGAATCCTTCAAATTTACTTTGGTGGCTTCAGAATAAGAAAGGGGAGTTTTTAATGTTTCGGGTACTTTTGAGGAAGACATTTCTTGTGGTTGTTCATTTTTGTCATTATCCATACTAAATAAATCAATGTCTTCATCAATAGGAAAAGGACTGAATGGGTCTGGAGGTGAAGATGCCGCCTGATCATGAACGCTCGGTCTACTGCCTATTATACCAACAGGAACACGATGATGATACATTGAGCTTTGATCAGATGAATGAATTTCGTGAGGATGGGGTATATTTATTGCAGGGGTACATTGACGCTCATATGTGGGAGAAAGGAACTGATTGTGCATAGAATTCGCAGGACTCAAAGGGGAACGGACTGAAATTGACTCATTCCAATCTTCAAAATTTGTGTTGATGGATATAGGGTTTCTCATGCCTTGACCGGAATTATTAAGGTTGAAAAGATGTTGACCATTATAACCAGGGCCTAACTGTTGACCGTCATTTTGACTCATATAATTGGAAGCCAAACCCATGCTGACACCATAAGGAAGGGATCTTGCAGCGAAATGAACATGAGAAGGATCACCATGAGAATTATAGAGACTTGGACCGTCAATATGCGGATGTAAAGTTGAAGAACCGGGGAATAATCGCCTTGCACTTGATTCAGAAGCTTCTTCTTGTTTACTTTTACGTCTTTCGCGTTCAGTTGGTGTCAATAGTTCATTTAAAGAAGACGGGATATATTCTTCAAAGTCGTAACCACATAGTTCTTCGCCAATAGGTTCATTATGATGAGAGTAATCATGGATTTCGGGAATACTATGAAGTTGCTGATGAGGGTTAATTGTTGGAGAAAGCAGACCACTATCACTAACATAAGAAACGGGTAAGAAAATAGATTTTGATCCAGCTGGTTGAAATGGAGAAGTTCCGAAAGAGTCAGCCGCATTAACGGGATTCAAATGAAAGATATCTGGCAAAGACCTGCGTTGTTGACCATTGATGTTTACAGGAGCAGATAAATGATCATTACTATAATTATTGCGTAATCTATGCGTAGCATGAGTTTCATCAGAAAAGTGATGTTGTTCGTTCAGGCTTAAAGAGGCGGTCAATTGACTGAAAGTTTTATTATTTTGATATTCAGAAGGACTAATAGGAATACGAGTAAAAGGAATGCCAGGCGAATTCAAAGGTTGATAATCATCCTGACTATATTGAGGGTGCATAACTGGAGATCTAATTTCCGGAATACTATTGTTTGAAATACCATTCCTCGATCCGTTCGCGTTACTACCATTCTTGCCGCTCCTGCCATTGATTTTTGAATTACCATTAGGTAAATTATGAGAAAGAGCACACCTGTGTCCATATTTGCAGTTTCCTTTCAAAAAGTATTTGCACACGTAGTTATCAGCTGAAGGATCTTTACTATGCGAAAACACGCAATTTTTTCCAGCGGTACATGCGCCACTTTTGAAGAATTTGCACGGGATATGTGCGAGATTACTGTTACCTTCATAGGTCATATCGATTCGGTGAAAAATTAGAGAATATAGTCAAAGAAAGAAATACAGAAGTTATATAGGTTAGTTTTTGGTAATACAAAAGTCTAATTTAGAGGTAATCACACAAGTAATGCTAAATAATGATGATATATGGATGATGATGGCTGTTCTTGTGATCAAAAATTCATCTTGAACGATGATAATTCCTTATTGGCTTAAAATTCATTCACAGAAAAATCAGATGAAGTCTGTCGGTCTGTACGTAATAATAGTATAATGAAAACATATTTCACAATATGGTTATAATATGACCGACGTGACAAGATGAAGTATCCTCCCAAGGTAAACTTAAAAGTAAAAAATGCTAAGTTTTGCTAGTCAATATAACTAATATCTATTCCTTTTTTACTCATCTGGGTAAAGATTTGATCAATCGAAAAGTACTTACTCTTTGAGCCATTAGTTTTTCCATCATTTGAGTTATTATTATTATTTTGATTACCTTTTCTTCTAGGGGGATGCGAGGGAAAGCCTGGTGTAACACTATTAGTAGGAGTTACGGGAGCAGAAATTGCTTGAGAGATAGGACTAGTTAGAGGTTCTTGGAAATTGAAAAGAAAAGACTCGGAAGCCGAAGTTGGGATGGAAGGAGATGTTATGATTGAAGGTATGTTGAGAAAATTACTGTCTATTTGTTGTCTAGGATACATTTGAGAAAGGATCGAAGGGTGATTTGGGAGTGAAGTTGCTTGCATGATTAAAGCAATGTCAAAAGTTTGGCACCGTTAACATGCGCGTTGTCTATTCTTTATTATTTTTATTATT